GTAATGGACTACAAGAGCAGGATGAACAGTCAGAACAATGCAAAATGAAAAGATAGTCAAGGGTTACTTTCTTCAATGGGTTGTGGAGGCAGATTAGATTAGTTTTAGGCACATTTATATTAATAAGGTTATCTCGAAACCAATCCATGGCTTTAGTGGCAGCTGACTGAAGAAGAGTAATCGCCTCATAAAGGTTGTTTGCAGTCGTCACGATCACAGAGTCGTCGGTGTATTGATATAGAGAAACCGGTATCGCGCTGTGAAGGTCATTTACAAAAAATATTATATAGCAGCGGACTAAAAATTGATCCCTGTGGAACACCGGTTTTGATGATTCGGAACCCGCTGTGATATTGTTCAATGGATACAAGTTGACGCCTGCCTTGGAAAAAATTTGCAAACAAAGACCAGAAAGCACCCCTAACCCTAACTGAAAAAGTTTATCCAATAACAAGGTAAGATGTACACTGTCGAAAGCCTTGCTGCAGTCAAGAAAGAGCGCACAGGCAGCAACTTTGTTGTTATCGAACGCCTCGTTCAACTGATCAGAGAAGTCTTCCAATAGCGTCTGAGTGCTTTTCCTCTGTCGAAAACTATACTGGCAAGGCGATAAGATGTTGTGACTATCGAGAAAGCTTGTCATCGTTAACAACAGATGTTTTTCTAGTATTTGTGCTATAGAATGCAGAATAGAAATCGGGCGATAATTTTCAAGTTTATCACGCGCACCGCATTTGTGTAGAGGTATTGATTGATTGATATGTGGGGTTTAACGTCTAAAAACCACTATATGATTATGAGAGATGCCGTAGTGGAGGGCTCCGGAAATTTAGACCACCTGGGGTTCTTTAACGTGCACCCAAATCTGAGCACACGGGCCTACAACATTTCCGCCTCCATCGGAAATGCAGCCGCCGCAGCCGGGATTTCAACCCGCGCCCTGCGGGTCAGCAGCCGAGTACCTTAGCCACTAGACCACCGCGGCGGGGCTGTGTAGAGGTATAACTATTGATGTTTTCAAGTTTATGGGGATTTCTCCACTAGAAATAATGAGGTTTATTAGTGCTAGCAGAACTTCATGGGTGTATTCAAATGTACGGTGCAAGTCACTTATAGAAACACCATCAATATCAACAAATGTTTTACACTTCAAACTGAAAATTATAGATCGTAAGTCCTCATGTGATATTGAAGGTAGATAAGCCGATTCACTAACACTGTAACGTAAAGTGCACGGGCCTACTTGGGAATTTGTGTTTTTAATTGTTCGAGAGAAAAAGTTGTTGAATTCATCAGCAATCTTCTGTGCGTTATTGGCTTGACTGGAAAAAAAAGTTATTCAAAATATTGACGCGAGTGTTTGCGCCTCTAAAGGTGTTAACGCCCAGGTTTTTTTTGCTGCTGTTACTGGCATCCTTAAATTCGGCTCGGAAATGGGTTCGTTTAGCCGAGCGAATCATAGCATTAACTTTGTTTCGGCTTTGCTTAAATTTGGCTCGCAAGTCTGAACAATTAGGATAACGCTTACATTGTGTCCAAAGCAAGTCCTTTTTCTTTATTGCTGCGAGAATATGTGTTGACATCCACTTATTATCCAATTTACGTTGTTTAATGTGTATCGTTCACGTTGCACTTTCTTTTAAGCTTATGAACGCTTCTACAAATTTATCATAGAGATCACTAGGAGACGTTATCGACAACAAAGAATTCCAGTCATAAATAGCTACCAGATTATCAAATTCTTTTGAATGTAGCACCGAAGTTTTTTGTATCGGTTGGCATCGTCGTCATATGTGTACAGCTGATTGAGCCGCAAACAAAGTAATGGTCAGCTATCTTAGTCTGTACTATTGCGGTTTTTGTGAGCAGGTTCTGCGCACGTACGAAAACGTGGTCAATGCACGACACGACGAGCTTGCCAGCCGAAAATTCCTCTCAAGTCGCTTGATTTATTCGGCACTCTAAGCCCCATTCAGAAAGCCTGTCTAGATAATCAGCAACGAGGCCTACAGTGGGACGCAAAAGGTCAATGTTAACATCTTCTATGATGCACACATGCTCTTCTATCGATAAGGATGATAGTGTGGAGTCATGTTCAGATAAGAAAAGGCACGTACTGAAACTGGGAGGCCAGTACACCGATAAGAGAGTCACCGAAAAAGCGGGCGTGTTCAAGCGCAGTGCTAACACTTCTGCTTGTGAAAAGGAAAAGGATAGCTGCGAAACTGCCCATCTGTTACTTATAAAAACGGCAATGCCTCCTCCTTTTCTTGTTGGGAGTTTGTATGAAAAGGCTTGGTAACCCGGCAGAACAAACTGTGTGAATCGCTCGGATGAAATGCTGATTTCCGTAAAGACAAAAACATCGAAATTTAGGCGAGATGAAGATGTGATGGCACAGAACTGATTCCAGTGTTTCCGAAGACTACGAATATTCACATGTGCTACTTTGAAGCCGTCAGATGAGGCACCAGAAAGAAATTTAGCTGCATTCGCGAAGTCGGTGCAAGTGATACTTTCCATATCTGCCATGTTTAAGCCAGCTTATCCAAATCCGATAGTTTTTCAATGCGAATGGTAGGTGCTCCTTCAGCTTTTCTTGCTAGCACCTTTCGTCCCTCGTCCACACGAAGTTATAGCCTTTTTCTTTTCCTTTCGAGCGGGTCAATCGGAAGAGTTCTCGGTTCATCCATGTCAAGTTTTCATGAATGTACAAGCGAGGAAAGCTATCGGACTGGGCATGATCGCGAAGGCCATTTAGAGCTCGAAGCCATGTTTCTTTTATTGAAGTGTTCAGTACTTGCACAAGAATGGGTGGGCTGCGTGTAGATTTATCGTGGGTTGGCAAACGATGTACTTTGCATATTTCATCCTCTTGAAAGTTTACTAGGTTCAAACGTCTAAGTCAATAATGAAGGACTTCAGGTTTTCACCTGGTTTAGAAGGAAGACCATGGATTTCAAAGTTACAACGTCTACCATATTGCTCTAGTTCATTTATTTGCACTGTCGTTCTGTGAAGAACATCAGCTTGATGGGCAACTGTTACGGAAACAGATTCCACCTGAGATCTCAGATGAGAGATTTCGGCTTGGTTACAAGCCATAGTAGAAAGCATGGAATCGTATTTTTCCGACAGGAAGTCAATAGACGTTTGAATTTCTGTCACAGTGCCCGCCATCTGTTCACAGGTTTCCTTGAAAGAGAGCAGTTCCTTAACTTTTGACACAAGCATCTCAACAGTGCTAGTCAGATGGTCAAATTTGGTATTAACAGATGGTCAAATTCGGTATTAACCCGAACCCATGCCAGACTTGCACATCTGACACGCCCACTTTTACGCTTAACCGTAGACATTTTGATATAAGCACTGTCAATGATCGTGGAACAGTTTTTCCCTATGTGAAAGCTTGCTTTACAACTCGAGCACACCAGGAATTTGCCTTCGACAGGCCTGGTACATGATGAACACAAGGAAGACATTGCAGTGCAGTCAGTGGCAATAACCAAATCACTATTTGCAAGGTGAAGTTTAGGGACCCACCTGCCAAGAATAAAGAAAAAGTTTCAGTGACGCCGGCCCGTCTTGCCGCTCACTGCAATGCCGTGCCAGGAAGGCAGGCTTTTTGTACGCTGCTAGCGGCCCACAACTACCGATACAAAGCGGACCAGGTTGCAGTGATGCAGATCCAAGAACGAACGTGTCCAGGGATTTGGGGGCCGCGTGCGCTGAAGAGCGTCTATGATGTCAGCGCTTGACGAAAATAGCGATCATCTCCCAGGCTTGTCACTGTGTCCTGCCAAAAATGAACAAAAAATTTCAGTGACGCTGGCCCGTCTTGCCGCTGACTGCAATTCCGAGCCAGGAATGCAGGCTTTTTGTACGCTGCTAGCGGCCCACAACTACCGACACAAAGCGGACCAGGTTGCAGTGATGCAGATACAAGAACGAACGTGTCCAGGGATTCGGTGGCCGCGTGTGCCGAAGAGCGTCTATGATGTCAGCGCTTGACGAAAACAGTGATTATCTCCCAGGCTTGTCACTGTGTCCTGCCAAAAATGAAGAAAAAGTTTCAGTGACACTGGCCCGTCTTGCCGCTGACTGCCATCAATTGCCGCATCATTTGAAAACCTTTTTTGCATGCGTGTTTCGGATATGTTACCCAAGCGTTGTCGCACAACACATAAACAAGTGACATAATGTGGCATGAAGAGTCGATGACAAAGCTAGGTTGTAAAGTTCTTAATATCTACGTTGATATGTTTCGACTATAACTACGCGCATGGACGCCAAACTGATGGCCAAGCCTCGCCCTTATGGTGCCGAGCCCCTTACATATTCTGCAGACACGCATGTTCAGCTTCTCGTTTAGTCAGCAACGTACGATATAAAAAGAAAACGAGTTTTACTAAATGAAGTTTTGACACCTAAGAGAGGCAGCAATATTTACGCGGCTATGAAAGCAAGAAAAAGTGAGACAATTGATTCTAGACCTGTTTCATCCTCCCCCACCTTCAGAGGTAGAGGTTGCGAAGAGTGATAGTGTTGTGCAATTTCTCGTCACTTCCAATATAGGTAGTGCCTGTCCTGTGTAGTTCCCTGGTCTTCGGTCTTCGTTTGTCGGTGTACGCTCACAATGGTGTGGTGTATTTGTTTACCAGAATAACGAATGTTACGACATGACCTAACACGGTGGTATAAGGGTTATGGTACTTGACTGCTGACGCGAAAATGACGGGACTGCATGCGTCCGTGGTGGCCGTGTTTTAGACGGAAGCGAGAATGCCTGCGGCCCGTGTGACGTTATAGAACACAGGTGGTTGAAGTTTCTGGCACCTACGGTTATGGAATTTTTTGTAATCGTGCTTTTCGTACTTTAAGCTCCAATAATTATTATGAAGGGCGTGATATGTCTTAATCGTAATAAAATAATGGTGACTTGCCTGCAGATCGCTTACATTGGGGCTGCATTAAACCGACCGTACTTGCTTGTTTCACAGCCACTGTACAAATTTTTCCGCGTTCCTGAGCACCGCATGGACGTGATGCGCATGGCCGTCAACCTGCTGTCCTGCATCGGCGACATCCTCATACTTGGCTTGGCATGGACCTACGCGGTTAAAATTCTCGGCTCCCAGGGATGGTTTGCTTACACCGTTATCGTACTAGTACTCCTCTTCCAGTCCGTCTTCTGGTTGACTGTTGAAGTAATACGGGCATGGTGCGATTTTTAATGTATTTCTCACTTATTTCTTCAAGCCTTAAACGGCGAAATTTTGCAACAGCAATACCAGAAAAGGACTAGCGAAATCACCTAGAAGGCACCGATTCTACTAGTGAAGTTACGTTTGAATGTGATGAAGCGATAGCTTGACCAGGGCGTTCTTAGCAAACACGAGACTCGTACAGATAAAGTGATCTGACTGCTGTGTCAACTGCCTAGTCGTACACATATTTATTACTCGGGTAATCAGTTTTTGAACAGTTAATGAGACAGCCTTAGCGCGCGCTGAGAGGCTGAGCTGCTCAGCCCAGCCATTCATGACCAATTGTTGAGGACAGAATCCAAAAGCTTTAGACTGCTGCGTAAAGTGGCTTTCACCCACCTTAAGAACTCGCAAAGTTCGTAGTGATGTGAATTTGTTCCTTGAGAGTGCAGTAACTCATATAGTTCTTTAAAATTATTTATGTGCTACGCAGGCCCGTATTCAGGAGTTATGTTTTATTGGTTGAGGGTGTGTGTGTTTGTGTAAGGCACTTGCAGAAGGCCTTGGCCATTGTAAAAAAACTGTTTTCGCTGTTAATATTTGTTATAACACCACTTTACTTGACAACATAGGAGCGAGAGGAGGGGGAAATTGGCTTTAGTATGGATACATATTAACTCGTACACCTATCCGTTTCACTGCAATTTACTTGGCGATCCGACGTACGCTACGACGCAGGACGTGCTACGAGCCTGTGTGCCGATGGCGCGAGAAGAACGCGTCAGTAGAACTCCTCCTAGACGCATCCGCTGCCACCGTCACCCGGTTGTCGGAACCGCGGAATAGAGTGGAGGGCTCGGTTGGCCTGGGGAGAGAAGCCACCAGTGCGTCTCCGTTTCGAACGGCAAGTGCATCCCCCTTGCGTCCAGTAAGGAGCCTCCCAGCCATTCTTGGCAACATACAGTAAGAGCTCCGTTCTTGTCATGCACTACCATCGCTGATTAATGCTTGCGTTGTTGCTGGTTGTGATAGTATACTTGTAGTGTTATGATGGTGTTAAATTGAGACAGCTATAACCAATCCCATTCATCGCTACCACTACTGCCATATTTATTTGAAATAGTTTGTTTGCTGTTGGTTTATTTGTTTATTTATTCAGTTATTTGTGAGACCCTGTTGGTACAGTTTCAGCTAAATATGGGACAGACAAAAGTAAATTGAAAATGAAAAAAAGATAACAACAACAAAACAGGACCAGTTCAAGCAGTCAGCCATAGAAGGAAAATTAGTTATTCTTCAAATATCCGAAGACGACGAAATTCGCACCTTAATAGACAAATTCTTTCAATTAGTGTGTAGTTTTACCGTTTGGTATAGCTTTATATTTCATGCAAATCGCTGCCTTATTAAGATGAGTGGGTCACTGATCCTTACTGATGATACAGATAGATTATTCCTAACTATCAAAGTCCTAGCATGCAATGATTGTTTGCACGCTGCGATTTTGTTGGTATTTCTATTATATATTTAAAAACAGCAGTTTAACTTCATCACCAGTACTACTGCTACCGTCTAGAACTCTGTTGCCTGTCGAATGGTCAGCTCGTGCAAGTATCATGCTCTCACATACTATTTGTTTGGTCTAGCAAGTTTCATGTATCTCCTACAGCGGCACTCAGCATCATCTGCAGCACCAAGCCCACCCAGCGACATTAAGGAATACTGTTGATTCGCGTACAAATGAATGCATTTTATTACGCTTTATTATATTCGTGCATCACTAATGGGCCATATAGTGCAAATTAACAGTAATGTTGGTAAGTGACCGCCATGCAAATCAATGCCAGATCAATGACGGCAGTGCCGTAATTATTACTGTTAATGTTGTTCTGAAATTAGAGTACCCTAATTATGACTGGTGGCATACATCTGAACTTAAAACTTTACATAGGCTTAAATAAAAATCAAACTTTCAAATTTCTTAGTCTCAGGGTTCTAGTTGGTGAAGATAAAATGATATTGACTTTTTATAGCCAAGCAATATGAGCTGCACAATGTAGGGACCCAAGCGTGCGCAAAACGTCTCCTCAGGCACCCCTAGATAGCGGTAGCCGGCCACGCCAGGGCAAGATGAAACCAGAAGCTTCCCCGACCGCACTATGCCAGTACAGGTGCGCGCCTCGGGGCAAAGGCAAGAACTAAAAAATGGCAGCATATCCACTGAGTGAATGATGAAGTGTGGGGCGAAACATCCATCCGTCCATTCGTTCTTGCTTCCGTCCGTCCATACGTCCGTCTGTGTGACCGTCCGTGCGTCCTTTCCCCCGTCCGTGCGCGCGTCTGTTCGTGCGTCCGCATGTCCATCTGTGCGTCCGTCCCTGCGTTCGTCCGTGCATCCTCCCCTGCTTCCATCCATGCGTTCATCCGCTGGTGCAGCCATCCGTGAGTCCGTCCATGCATCTGTCAGTGTGTCCGTTCCTCTATCTATTCAACACTCCAAGTACCACCATCCAGCATCTTCTCATCGTATATTCCGCATATGCACTGCCATCCAGCGGACATTCCAAGGACTAAACGAGAGGTGGCACACACACACTCTTTCTTACGGCTTGCGCTTCGTGTCTACTTCCCACCTTTAAGCACCTCGAGTTCATGGTATATACTAGTTCCAGTAGGGTTGACAGGCGGGCTAGTGGTACAAATTCATAATGGAATAATTGGAAGCGCAAACCAACGGGACACAAGAGAAGAGACAAACAAAAGCAGTTTGTCTCTTCTCTGTGTCCCGTTGGTTTGTGCTTCCAATTATTCCATATGAATATACTAGTTCACTGTATTCTTGGCACTGCAGCCCAAAGCTCGCTAAACCTTTCTAAAACCAAGAAGGTTATGCCCAGCGAGTATAACGTAGCAACCCTTTCTTGTCAGATAGTGCTTAATGTACATGCCAATGGCTGCTAAGGGGGAATGAGAGATATGAGAATTCGGCTTTTAGTTACCGCGCACGCTCCGAATTTTTTAATTCTTCAACAACGCACAGAAGAAATCTCTCACCTGCGCGACCTTGGACGTCAAAATGTAAGACTGGTTACACACTACGGTTACTATACTACGACTACGAGGGACAAACGGGTGCCGCTATATGAAGCTTCGCCCCTAAATTAATGGTAAAGATATTGTACTTTTGCATTCTTAATTTGATATCAGGTGGGCTCACATTCCTCCTAGAAAAAAAAGCCTTTCCAACAATGCACTTGTGTTTAGTAGTGTCACGTGATCATGACATTCACGAAGAAATCAGTCGGCGCCTCCAAGAGGAAACTTTATTTGGCCAAAATTGTGGCCGTGAGACGGAAATTTAAACTGCAAGCCTTACACACTGCGCACTGGTTGTGACGAACAGAACGTCGACCCTTGATAATCATATGAGCGGTATCAAAGTGGGTATTTGTGCACGTGGCGTGGAAGGTCCTAGCGTTATTGATCGTTCTTCCGAAAGTTTTCGAAAACACTTCACCATTTGCATCCTGCACGTAACATGATCTGATTGGTCACAGAAAATTTTGAAGCTTTCAGAACGTTGCGGCCTGGTCTGTTCCGAGTGTTGCAAACAGCTTTTCTTGGCGAATGTCGAATTATTTACTGTAAAGAAAGTATACGGGCGTTACAATATTCCAGCCGACCTTAAGAGCATTGGTGTCAACAGGCTTTCCAACAAGCTATGCTGAAGGGAAGCCTGCTGGCAAAACAGAATATATGCCGAGCGCATGCGGCAAGCCGCAGAGAACGACCGATTTCGCTTGGCGGAGAATGCAGCCTTGTAGGTGAAGCCGGCGAGAAAACGTCGTTAAGCGCACACATCGGTTGTACTGGAGTGTTAGAAGAGTCGCGCCGCACCATTCGCACCGGTTTGGGCGTTCATATATATAGCCTAAATGCGCGCACAAGCGGGACAGAAACACTGACGTGGGCATTTCCTTGCGAATGAATACAGTAAGCTTTACTAAGCATATCATATTCATGCGCCCAAAAATGCTAGCACCAGTGTCACTATCATAAACGTCACAACATGTTCCGCCCACGCATGTAACAGGATTACTTTTTTGGGTCTTTCTGCAAAAATACTGCGTTTTTGTGCTACTGCGTGAAGCGTCTGCATATACTGCACTTTCTAGTAATAAAGCCCTATACTTTATTGCTAGAGTACCGAAGACTTTGAGCATGGCAATATAGCAGCGGCTTATTGCGTTGACATGTAACATTATATCACGCTGTTCGCGTTTCAAGGCACTGCATTCAATCTTTCGGGACTTTTTGTCGACTGTTTGAATAAGTAAACTCTGAAATGCTTCACCACAAGCTTTAGGCAAGAATTCACCTTCTTCAACTTGATAACATTAGTTCTGAGATGTTGGAAATGTGAAAATAATAATTTTACCTACTGTACATAAGCCTTCAGTATAAGTTATAACACATACGAGTGCTCTCAAGCTGTCTTCTTAGTCCCTTGTCCCTCCTTGCACCGTTGTCAGTATAACAGACCACCAACTTGCCCAGAGATTTGTGCTCTAAGGTTCCATATATATGATACACGACACTTCAAAAGCGGAACGTGTCCTGGCATTATCGCTGAACTAACTCGCCGGGTTTTGATCAGCTTTAGGTTTTTTCACGCGATAGGATATGTACAGGAGTTGTTAGCGACGACAGCATAAGTAAAATTTACAACTTATAAAAGAGAACAACAAGGTCACGATGTCGATTCTGCATACACCTAAGAATGCTCAAAGGTGAAACTCATCATCTTTATCATATTTTTTCTTGATCGATCTACTGATACATTTCAACCTCCCCCCGAGAAACTTCTGCACTTAACCGGGAACGTACACTGCCTCAGTGATCGGAGGCATTGGAAGCTTTCTGCACCTCATGTGGTTAAGCACAGCCTTCGTGATCGGTCCACTTTTAGCGAAGCGAGTATGTCATGGTATGACGTCATGATGACGGTACGAAATTCAATGGTCTGTGACGTTGTGGTGACATCATGTGCTGACATTATCACCTATGTTCGTCTTCTGAATTGCTCCATATGGTGACGCCAACGGCTGATTTCCGTGTTTCATGGGGCATCTAAATCTTTTCTCTTGACAAAATATTGTTTGGTACTCCTGCAAATAATCCGGGAGGTCCGCACTCAAGTTTAGTTCTGGCCTAGGTATCTTACTTACCCGCCACGGTGGTCTACTGGCTAAGGCACTCGGCTGAGGATCTGCAAGTCGCGAGATCGAATCCCGCCTATGGCTGCCGCATTTTGGATAGAGGCGAAATGCTTGAGGCCCGTGTTTTCAGACTTTGAAGCACGTTGATGAAGCCCAGATGGTCAAAATCTCTGGAGCCCTTCACTACGGCGTCTCGTATAATGAAGTGGTGGCTTGAGACGGTAGACCTCAATAATTATATTATTAGGTATTTTACTTGCACACCCGTCTATACAAGACAAACCGAAAACGAGAGCGTGTTACCGCCCTGCAGTGGTGTTCTAGTGGCTAAGGTACTCGGCTGCTGACCCGCAGGTCGCGGGATCAAATCCCGGCTGCGGCGGCTGCATTTCCGATGGAGGCGGAAATGCTGTAGGCCCGTGTGCTCAGTTTAGGGCGCACGTTAAAGAACCCCAGGTGGTCGGAATTTCCGGAGGCCTCCGCTACAGCGTCTCTCATAATCAAATGGTGGCTTTGGGACGTTTAGCTCACATATCACTGAGCACGTTCCCCGAAAAGTTTCTCGATGAATATAGAACACCTTTAAGCGCATCTTTTTAACAATGACTTTGGGAAAAATGTTTTGCTTGTCTTCTGAGATTGATGTTATTTATGTGCAGAAGAAACAAGATTGGAGAATCTCCCCCTCTACTCACGGCTACCTCTTCGGCCAAAGCACATCGAAGATGCTAAGACCCCGAAGACTACAAGACACAGCGCAACACCTTATAGCTGTATTATGGATGGCTTAGTTCAAAGTTACATGGCATCTCGAACAACGTGCACTATTATCGTTCAAGTTTCTTTTACAACGTCTGTCGCGCTTGCAAGCAAGAAGTACTGGAATAGGTTTCTAAGCTTGTACATTTCGACCGAACTCCGGAACATTGGAACAAGATGAAATAAGCATAATATCATCAAAACAAACATCTTGTGCATCATGATTTTCAGCATAACCTTGACACAAACACTCGAGGGCTTATAGCAAAGAAAAGAATTGTTTTATTTTTTTGAAGTGAAAAATGTTATGTTACTATAGGAGATTGAAAAAGCCTGATGCTCTGAGTGTGTTCTTCTAATGCAAATGAATATATCAATTCAGCTCGATCACCTATGTTACTGCGCTATTACTCTTTCAGTTAATAAAAAAAGGCGAATTTTGGGAGCTCGCAGACCCTGAAATAAAGACATCCCATTACCTGAAATTTACACTACTCCTGCCTCATGGCAACTGGAGTGTCCATGTTTCGCAAACATTTACTTGTTATGCAACATACTTATGATAGCCCTACCAAACGAAGGAGATCATAGAGGTCAGAGTGTGTCTTAAATAAGTATGAATACTGAGAAAAAAGCCTAATGCTGGTGGGACACCTGGTACCACCATACTGCATACGCTAAGTATCCGAAGTGTAACCAGTATCTTTTCTTGTTTTATTTGTTTGTTTAGGTTGAGGG